TGGGTTAGAATCGGAGAGGAACTAAGCAACGGCAACTAGGGTTTCTCATAGAAGAAGAGAGGATTTGGGGGCGGTTGTCTCAGAAGAATGGATATTAGGGTTTGGGGCGAGGGTAATTAAAAAGGGAGAATGGTTGTGGGTCCTTGATCATTTGAGATCAACTGCCAGGATTAGAGAAAAAGTGGGGCGGGTCGTAGAACGAGTCCTGACCGGGTTATAATTAAAGGGATCATTTGGCTTTGGGACAGGGGATTGGGCCAAGGTTTTTGAGGTATGGACTGGTACCTGGGTCCGAAAATTAGCTTAGAATTGGGCTATGAAATTGAATACGCGAAAATTATTTAACATAATTTATAAAAAGCGATTAATAAATAATAAAAATATTATTTATGTATTAAAATGATTAAAAATAATAGCTTAATATTGTAAAAATATAAATAATGCCATTTCAGTATAATAATGTAAATAATGCCATTGTGTATAAAATACAAGCTATTATTGCAAAAATTGCATAAATAGCTAAAATATAAATGTAATTATATGAAATGAAGAAAAAAATGTTATAAAACATATATATGTGTGTAAATAATAAATTTAGATAATTAAGTCATCACAAAATAATTTGAAAGGGTAATTAATAAATATTTAAACAATTTAAATGTAAGAAAATCAATTTTAAAGTTTTAAAAATTATGCAAAAAATTACAGGAAATACTTATATAACCCCAATAAATTGGATAATAGTGAAAAATGATATTTTAAAAGTATATATAATATTTATTAAATATGAGGGCAAAATTGGGTATCCTTTTTCTTAGCTTATTCCCTTTTTTAGGCACTACCACTACGTTAGCTAACCAATCAGGATATTTAACTTCCCGAATGGACCTTATTTTTAAGAGTTTAGATACCTCGTACTTGATGAATGCATGTTTGACCTCGGACTGTGGTCTCCTCTTCTGTTTAACCATATGGAACTTCGGGTCCAAACTCAGCTTATGAGTGGTTACTCCCGGGGGGAGGGGGGAGGGGAGGGAGGGGGGTCCCTGTCATGTCAAGATGAGACCAAGTGAAACAGTCTATGTTAGATTTAAGAAATTCAATGAGTTTTTTTCTGAGCTCGGGAGTTAACCCCGTGCCCAGGAATACCTTTCGATCTGGTAGGTGTTCGATCAATATGACTTGCTCCAACTACTTGACCGTCGATTTGGTGGCGTTGGTATCATCAAGAGCTATGAATGATCTGAGAACTTTGTAATCATCTTCCTCATCTGCTCTTCGCTCTTCCGGTTTGGTCGGAACCGGAAACGGTGATTGCTATTTAATTTCTTCCCTCCTGGCCTGCTCTGTGTTCCTTGATATCGAAACCATGGGCACCGAGATTACCTCGTCGACGATGAACATTTCCTTTGTGGTCGGCTGCTCTCCGTAGACTGTCTTTATTCCTCCCGATGTAGGGAACTTCAGTGCTTGGTGTAAGGTCGAGGGTACCGCCCTCATGTTATGAACCCATAACCTTCCGAATAGAACGTTATAACTCATGTCCCCTTCGATCACGTAGAATTTCGTCTCTTAGATCGTCCCGGCGGTGTTCACTGGTAGGGTTATCTCCCCTTTAGTAGTTTCTCATGCCATGTTAAATCTGTTCAATAACCGACCTCCGACACTATTTAGTCTTGTGACCCTAACTGCTCTACGACCCTCGATCTGATTATGTTGACCGAGCTACCCGGATCAATCAATACGCGTTTAACTTGAGATTTATTGATAAGCATGGATATTACCAGTGCATCATTGTATGGTTGCACGATGCCCTTGGCATCCTCGTCGCTGAACGAAATGGTTCCCTCCGGGATATTATCTCAGGTGCGTTTTTCCCTTGTGATAGGTACTTTAGTGTGCTTTATCATCGGTCCTTGAGGGATATCGACCCCCTCCAATGATCATGTTGATGATGTGTTGAGGCTCCTCTTGTCCAGCTTGTTTGTTGGCGTCCCTGTTCCTGAAGTGATTTTTGGCTCGATCGCTTAGAAATTCTTAGAGGTGCCCGTTATTAAATAACTGGGCAACTTCTTCTCTCAATTGTCGAAAATCCTCGGTCCCGTGGCCATGAGTTCCATGATACTTACACATCAAGTTAGGATTTTTTTGGGTTGGGTCGGATTGCAACGGTCGGGGCCACTTGGTTTCCTTGATGCGCCTGATGGCTGATATGATGCTGGTCGCATCGACGTTGAAGTTGTATTCTAACAATCTTGGAGATTTTCTACCCCCGAGCGGCCTGTTGAAACCATTTTTTCTCATTAGACCTCGGCTACTAGACCCTTGATCGCCTTTTTTTCCCTTGCGGACTGACGCCCAAACCCATTTCCCCTTCTGTCCGCTGTATGGTTGGTATCAATCTCGGACAGGTCTTGGCTCATGATCGACGGTTCTCTTAGACCTGTCGTCAGTCCTGATGGGATAAACAGATCCAGAAGGGGCTCCGAGTTGAACGTCCTCGACCCTAATCTTCGACTGGGACCTGTTGTAGATGCCGACCCAAGTTACCACCGGGTACTCTACCAAGTTTTGTTTTAGCTGCTGTGAAGCCAAGGAGCTTCAGGGGTTAAGTCCTTGGGTAAACGCCTGAACGGCCCAATCATCAGCGACCGGAGGCAGGTCCATCCGTTCTATCTAGAACCTCGATACGAATTCCTTAAGCATCTCGTTGTCTCTTTGTTTAACCTTGAAGAGGTCTAACTTTTAGGTCTCAATCTTGATGGCCCTGACATGGGCCTTCACGAAAGAATCTGCAAGCATAGCAAACGAGTCAATGGAATTTGGGGGTAAGTTGTGATACCATATCATTGCTCGTTTGGACAAAGTTTTCCCGAACTTCTTTAGTAACACTGATTCGATTTCATCATCTTCCAAGTCGTTCCCTTTGATTGCGCATGTATAAGAGGTCACATGCTCATTTGGGTCTGTAGTTCCGTTATATTTTGGAATGTCAGGCATATGAAAGCTCTTAGGGATCGGCTTTGGGGTCGCGCTCGGAGGAAAAGGCTTTTGGATAAACTTTTTGGAATCTGGACCCTTCAATATCGGGGGTGCTCCCGAGATTTGGTCGACCCTGGAATTGTATGTTTCCATCTTCTTGTCGTTGGCCTCAATTTTCTTTTCACCTGATTCCACCCGCTTCGTCAATGCTTCAAGCATTCTCATTACTTCTGGATTGATCCCGGACTCAGCTTCACTCGATCTCTCAGTGATTTGCTCATTTCTTCGGATGTTCTCCCGGGATGGTTCGGGCTCATCTCTGTTAAGCCTGCAATATTTCAAAGATTAACCGTAGGCTAACCCCATCACCTTCGCCTTCGAGCGCTTCTCGAGCCGTCGGTCGGGGTCCTCCACAAATGTTATTTTCGGGATCAGTTGGCAGGTTGACGTCGATGGCCACCTGTGAGTTAGCATCGACCGGATCGGCGATTGGGACTCTGTTGGGATCAGCGGGAGGCACCTCGTTGCTAGGCACCAGATTGTTGTTTTCGCCATGACGGCCAGATCAACATCAACACTCAAGTGAACAAACTGAGAATTTGACATTTTCTAAACTGACCTAAAATTAAGACTTTAAAGAACAAGCATAAAATAGGGTATGTTATGGAGATTTGTATCAAATCACCACTATTATCCTTAGCCCCACGATGGGCATCAAACTGTTTACCCTTAAAACGGATAACAATTAAATTTGTATGCGGTTTTAAGAAAATGTGGATTGATTCAGCATAAATAATCAAGAAGGTTAGATCAACGAATTAAAGATAAAATGAATAACCAAACTAGTTGTGACATTAAGGTCGGGTTCAGATTTAAGCTGAACAATAGTTTTGCCCTCTACCGGACCCTTCATTCGAAGCCAATTGTGTATGAAGAACAACAATAAAATAAAAACTTTGCAATAGCTAGTAAGCAGAAAAATGAACTTGCATCGCCTTGATTTGCATGTAACAATGCGCTTTATTAAACAAAAACTTCTCCTTTATATAGTAGGAGAGTTTCACCTATAGTACAAGTCTAAAAAAGGTAAAACTCCTCCTCTCTCATCAATTACTTATCCATAACCGCCATCGAGCGAGATCCGCACCGTGATATCGGGTTGGTTTCGGATATCACGACCTCTCTATTTGTCACCTACAACCGTTCACTGCGCTTCCTGAAGTCTCAGGACTTGTCCCAGGCCCGGGGTCCTTTGTTTTATCAGGTCTGATGGCGAGCTCTCTGCTCGGGCTTCGATACAAAGAGTTCCCAACTTCGATTTCGATCTCATATATTCATACTCTTACTTCATTTGATTACCGGAAAATCGAAATATGCGTTAATCCCGATTTCACCCATATACAAAATATACAAATTTTACTTGAAAAAGATTATAAATTTTCAAAATAAAAAAATTAAACTTTTGAAATCTGAATAGTGCCACATAAATTAAGACATTGGAAGTAATAATATTAGGTTTGGGCATTTAGAGGCTAACGGCCAATATAATAGTGGAGATTTAGAAGAGGACTATTTTTGTCCGACGTTATTATTTAGCATAGTTGCTATTGAATATAATTCAAGAATAGTTGGATCCTAACAAATTAGCCCTTCACATACTTAATATTTTTTTTTAATTATCACAAGTAGTTAGCAGCTTGCATATGGTCCTCTAGCGCTTTAACGAATCCTCCAACGGGACTCATTTTTTATGTTCTCAACTCATATGCCACAATGTGATAGTTTGGTTGCAAGCATTTATATTTTATAGTCCGGATAAAAGCATAATCTATTCATACTAATTTTGGCTCTCCATTACTGCATTATTCTTTCTAATATTTGTTATATACTCATACATTTTCATATACTAAAATTTATTAAAACAAATATAGCATGACGTCTTTATTAAACATAAAAGTAAAAAGTTTAGTTTGTGATACTCTTTCAATGATACATTTATTTATTTATTTATTTAAGTATTCAAGAAACCTAATGGAAATGCAGGAGATGTGAACCTTAATTTAAGCAGAAGCACATGCCCATTTGCAGCTCATCGTCAACTTATCTTCTCCCTAACTCCATATACTAATATATTTCCAATTCATTGCCCACTCCCCTAACACAAAGCTCACCATTTCCGTTTCCCTCTTTATAAACTGATCAGGAAAAAGAAAAGTAATATACCAATAATCATGGCTACAAACCCTAACAGTGTTCAAAAAATTGTCAGCCATGCCAATCCAACTACCATTTTCCGGTGGGTCCCAGTCCGCCGGAAAATCACGTTCAGGAAGAAGCGGTTGCCGACGGTGCGGTTAGGAGATGCGAAGAACCCTCGCCGGGGATTCTCCGTCGTGAAGCTTTTCCGGCGAGTTCGATTGAGGTGGCTGAAATTGCACTACACGTGTATGCTGAAAAAACTGAAAGAATATTATCAGTCTGCGGTGAAAGATATAATGGAAAGTGGCGGAGCATTGGACGCCTTTCAGCAACGTCTACTATTGGAAACCTCTTTCGCTGTTCCTGTAATGGGCCTTTCCTTCAATACTTTTCCCAATCACCATGGAACTTGAAATTGCAGCACCTTAACAAAATCTTTTTGGTAAATATTTACATTTTCTAGCTATCTTTTCAAGCTTATTAAATAAAGTCCCCCTCCTATAAATGTAAGTTTTTTTCTTTCTTTTTTTGAAAAAATAATTCCTCTTATATTGAGAATCATAAACACTTAATGTGTGTTGTTGTGAAGCCAATATTATACAAAGTGATAAAAGAAACTAGAATATCACAGTTGGGATTTAAATAAATAATGAAAATGACATTGTATAACCGCTTTTAAAATAATAGTCGAAATAGTGTATATTTTTTTGTATATATATATATATATATATATATATTCTGTTTGTTATATACAAAAATAATACAAATTTTATATATTTTTTCAGCTAACGAATATATAGGTTCTTGCGCTAGCTAAAAGTAATAATAACCCACTTAAATATGTGATCTAAAGCCACTTTTATACCTCTTTCCTACTACTAGAATTGGATTCAAAAGTTAATATACAACCAAAACAAATTCGTTTTTGCCCAATTTGGAAAGTAAAATTTTCCAAGGAGGGGATTCAATTGAAACACATTACCTATAAAATTTGGTGCAAGACGTGATTGATATAGAAGAAGATGTAAATTTCTTTTACCTTGGATTAGGAAATTGTATAGAGCAATTATGTTATTTATTTATTTATTTTTACAACTAGTCAGCTACTTGAAATTTAAATTATTTGCAAGGGTCATACCATGCATGTGTGTTTGTGCACTTTTATGCTTTATTTTTAGGGAGTTTAACCTAAGTATCACCTATAACTCCAGGAAGGTCAAAGTGTCTCTTGGTGTGAGAGCTAAATTAGGGTACAAGTTACGAGAAGGGATTAATTATATAGTCATAATGGCTATGGATAATATAAAATGCTTAATTATGGTGCATAATTCACATCGAAGTGAAAATACAGAAATAGTAGCACCCTAGGATATCTTAAAATTTAAGTGTAACATTTGAGTGGAATGCAATGAAAGTGAAAATTGATATTTCAAATGATGTAATGTTGGCTTTCTTTTTTAGTTTTAGTTGATTCAATATTTCCTTAAATTTCAGGAAAATTAATGTTCTTCCTATCTGTCTGACGGATTTGAATCCTTTTCATATGGTAAGACTAGAGTTAAGAATAAGACAAAGTTGATAGTGCCAACTCCTGAAGGTTGTCAACAGTATCTCTATTTTCTATAAATTAATGACAAGATTTTGTATTTTTAAAGACAGACGAATCATAGAAAATCATTCGAGCATAAAATATGTTAAAATGGGGAAGCAAAACGAATAATTCCTTGGAGAGAAACAATGAAGAGTAAAGATAATTTGTTATTGAAGCTAGTATTGCTTAGAGGTTAGAGATCTCACATGACCTTGTCTCTCAATTTTTTGGATTTTAAAGAAAATTAAATAAATGAAAAAGTAATTTAAAGATGGATGAAACGATCCCAAAAAAAACAAAGGTGTAGGTTATATAAGTCACAATTAATTACTATTAGCTCAACCGGTTTTAGTTTGTTAACATTTGATGAAATCAGTCCATTGACACGTATTCTCTCTTACACAATGAATAATACTGTATTTTAAGTACATTCTTAGAGCTTACATAATCTAACGGTAATTTTGTTAATCAAATAGTACGTAGGATTAAGAGTGAGAGGGAAGTATAGATAGAGCTTTCCTCTCTATTTATGAAGATAACAAAATATACATTTTCGGATTCTCATGCGAATTTTGTTATTTCCATCTGTTTGATTTGTCACCTGGAAGCACAAATATACAATAGTAAATCTTTGACATATTATAGTTAGTGGCGGATCTAGAATTTTAAAGTAATGCGTGCTTTATTGTTCTTAAGTTGACGCATAGTATAAGTGTATCACTATTTGAAACTTAAAATGAGACAATTCAATGCAAAAATATAGGGAAAATAACACTATATAGCGGATGTTATATATATATATATATATATA